GACAAGGAGATTTGGCCTCCAGGGGGCAGTGAGGAGTCACTCTCACCTCCTGGTTGCTCTAAAAGCTCCAAAGCCTGGTTTAGTGATGAGGAGGTTCTAGGGAGGCCCTCACCCCGGCAAAAAAGATTCTCACTCAGGAGAAATACTTGGGGTCACATCCTTATTGCTCCCCATCCCCCACCATCACTCCCTGTGAACCCTGGGCCTGTGTGTGGAAGAGGCAGTGACTGCTAATGGGGGGAATGAGGGAGGAATGCATGGATACAGAAGGTGCTCAATAGATGAGGACAGAAGAAAACAAGGGGCCGGGCGCTGGTGGCTCATGCTTGTAATCCTAGCTACTTAAGAGGCTGATATCTGAGGATTGTGGTTCAAACCAGCCCCGGCTGGAAAGTTCAAGAGACTTTTTTTCTTTGCCAGTCCTGGGGCTTGAACACAGGGCCTGGGCACTGTCCCTCAGCTTCTTTTTGCTCAAGGCTAGTACTCTACCACTTGAACCATGGCTCTACTTTTAGCTTTTCAGGTAGTTTATTGGAGACAAAAGACTCACAGTTTCCTACCGGGGCTGGTTTTGAATCATGATCCTCAGATCTCAGCCTCCTGAGGAGTTAGCATTATAGGCCTGAGCACCCAGCTTCCAAGAAATTCCTATCTCCAATTAATCACCCAAAAAGCTATAAGTAGCTTAAATGGTAGAGTGTTAGCTTTGATCACAAAAGCTCAGGGACAGTGCTCAGGCCCTGAGTTCAAGACCTAGAACTGGCACAAAAAAAAAAAAAAAGAGGAAAGGAAAGAGAGGGCAGGAAGCTGCATAAGCACCAGCCTTGTAGAAAAGTAGGAAGAAAACCATGTGGGTAAAGTAGCTGTTAAATGAAAGGGGGGGGGAGGCTGATAGATGAAGGAATAAATGAGCAAATAAATGGGTTCCCAGTGACCCTGCTGTCAAAGGAGCAATGAGAACTCTAATTTCCCAGCCCATTCGGTAGAAAGAAACTTTTGGGTCTGTGAATCTGGTGACCAGAAGCCTGATCCTCCCTTGTCCCTCTTTCCTCATCTCCCTCTTTCCAAGGCTGGGGCAGGGGTTCTGGGAAGGATGCCTATTCTCCTCCTCCTGGCTCTTCCAGGTCTAATTTCCGCCAGGCTAGGCCAAGGTGCTAGGGGGTGGTAGTGAGGGAGACTATTTCAGTCAGAGACAGCCCTGCCAGGAAGCAGAGGAAGCTGTCCACCGTAAGGGGTGTGGCCGCCTGACTGAGTCCAGAGTGTGTCTGGCTTCTCTTGGCTCTAATGCATTTGGGATAACCGTGCTGCTGTTGGGACAGGAGGTCGCATGTGAGTCTTGGTGCATGTTGGGCTGCAGACCAGTGTGGGATGGGGTAGGGTGGGGGTAGCTGTTGTCAAGCTACTGTGATTCTGGCAGGCAGGCTAGAGATGGTGATGATCTAGGGGATGCCCACAGAATTGGGGGCCCGGAGGAAGAATTCCACCTAGCTAGGGGCTCAGAGGAGGAAGCAGCATGAAGGGATTGGGAACCTGATGAATACTTAAGGTGTCTGAACACAGAGGAGTTGGATGGCACTTTGTGTGGCAGGAACAGACAGGGCACCAGATCTCCACTGCCAGTGGTTGTGTGGCCATCTCTGTGTCTTAGGAAGAGAAGGGCAGGAAAGAGTAGAAAGCAGAATGGACCTGGGGTCATTCAGACCAGGCTGGATGGCTGAGCAGAGCCTTGAGCATCAGGACAGAAGCTGAGATGTTTCCCCAAGGGCAGAAGGACATGGGAAGGTTGTCCTGAGAGCCAATGTGGGCAGCATAGCTACAGCCCAAGGAAGGGCTGAGGTTTGAGCTGGTGCAGAACTTAGGGCCTACCCGTTGGTGACAAAGCCAATGCAAGCTGCTACCTAGAAGTAAAGCAGGCCCTGCAGGAGGGGGAGAGCAATCAGTCTTCAGTCCTCAGAAAGTTCAGTGAATGGGGATCTGGTGGTGCATCCTGGCCTGCCTTTCCTGGCTTGCCCTTTGGGACACAGGACAGCTCCTTTGATACCCTCTTTAGCTCCTACCTCACCAGGGAACCAGTCCCTAGCCACCTCTAGGGCCGTGTCTAAGAAGTGTCAGGGCTTCCCACAGCAAGGTTTATGGACACAGCACCCTTCCACCCATGCTGATCTCCTCTCAGATCCTGCCTGTCTCTCCTTGTCTGCAACTAGGGATCATTATGTCCTGTTCCACCCATGGAGATCTCCCTCAGGCCAGGGGCCTTCATTCTTCCTGGAAAAGCTCCTTTCACCCAGTGGCTTGCAATAGGCTCTCTCTCAGACTAGCACATCTGTAGCTGCATGTGCAACTGTGTATACACCCACACCTGCATCTACCTACTGTACTAGCAAACAGTAAGATGTGTGAATGAACACGATGTATGAATGAAAGAACGAGTGAATGCAGAAATGAATGAAGGAACTCTTGCAGACTATACTGATTGATCTTGCCTTCCTGGCCCCCTGGGGGGCCCTCCTGCAGCTCCCAGCTTCCTTATGTGCCCACCCCATCTCCATCACACAGCTCTGACACCTTATACATGGACTGAAGGCTCAGAGGAATCCTCCATAACCAAAGGTGATATGGGACATGGGGTACTACCAGAGAATCCAAACACTATCATTTTCTCCAGAATTGAGGTAAAATAATTACATTAAAATTTAAAGCCAGGCACTGGTGGCTCATGCTTGTAATCCTAGCTTTTCAGGAGGCTGAGTCTGAGGATGGAGGTTAGAAACCAGCTGGGCAGAAAAGTGCAGAGAAAAATGAGACTCTTATCTCTAATTACCCAGCAAAAATCTGTAAGAGGAGCTATGGCTCAGGTGGTAGAGTGCCAGTCTTGAGCTAAAAAGCCAAGCAAAAACAAGATACCCTGAGTTCAAGCTCCAATGCTGGCACAAAATAAATAAATGAGATAAAATTTTAAGTTCGGAAGAAATGTTTGGCTCTGATGTAAATTTTTTAAGATAGGTGGGGGAAGTGGCGCTGTAGCTCAGGTGGTAGAGCATTTGCCTTGAGCTGAAGAGCACAGGGACAGCACCCAGGCCCAGAGTTCAAGCTCCAAGACCGAGAAAAAAAAAAAGCATATAAGATAGGTGGGCACTGGTGGCTCATGCCTATAATGCTAGCGACTCAGGAGGCTGAGATCTGAGAGTCACGGTTAGAAGCCAGCCCAGGCAAAAGAGTTTGTATGACTCTGATCTCCAGTTAATCATCAAAAATATCCAGAACTGAAGCTGTGGTTCAAATGGTAGAGTACTAGCTCTGAGCAAAAAAAAAAAAAAAAGGCTTAGGGATGGCCCTGAATTCAAGCCCCAAGACAGGCACACAAAAAATACAAATAAATTCTATAACCTTATTTAGTATTCACATTTAAGAACAGCTAATAAGGGCTAGGGGCATGGTTCAAGTGGTAAAGTACTTGTCTAACAAATATGAAGCCCTGGGATTCAAGTATCAGTATAAGAAAGAGAGAGAGAGAGAGAGAGAGAGAGAGAGGGAGGGAGGGAGGGAGGGAGGAATGAAGAGAGGGAGGGAGGGAGGAAGGAAGGAAGGGAGGGAGGGAGGGAGGGAGGGAGGAAGGAAGGAAGGAAGGAAGGAAGGAAGGAAGGAAGGAAGGAAGGAAGGAAGGAAGGAAAGAAGGAAGGAAGGAAGGAAGAGAAGGAGGGAGGGAGGGAGGGAGGAAGGGAGGAAGGGAGGGAGGGAGGGAGGAAGGAAGGAAGAGAGGAAGGAAGGAAGAGAGGGAAGAAAGGAGGGAGGAAGGAAGGGAGAGAGGGAGGAAGGGAGGGAGGGAGGAAAGAAGGGAAGGAAGGAAGGAGAGAGAAAGAAAAAGAAAGAAGAAAGGAAGAAATAAAGAAAGACAGAAAGAAAGAAAGAAAGAAAGAAAGAAAGAAAGAAAGAAAGAAAGAAAGAAAGAAAAGAAAGAACATAATGGTACACATCTATTACTCAGACTCTGAAGTGTGAAGAGGAGGATTTTGAGTTTGAGATCAATCTAGGCTACAAGATCCTGTCTCAAAACCAACCAACAAGCAAAAGGAATACCTAACAGTTAGCACTGTGCCAGGTGCTAGCCCTCACAATAACCTTATGAGGCAGGTGCCACGTTATCCCATTTTACAGATGAGGAAACTGAGGTGTCTGGTTAAGTAATATGCCCAAGGCTACACAGGTCACACATGGGACAGAGCTGGGATTTGAATGGACCAGAGTCCATGTACTCAGCCTCAACTCTTTTCTACCCTCTGGGTGCATTTGCAGGACTTAATACTTTGTTCTAGGCTTCAGTTTCTCCCATATGTAAAATAGGGAGAAGAGAGGACTGAACTCCCTATCTCAAAGGGGTTGCTTTATAGGTCGTTGGGTTTGAACTGTAAATTCCCTATAGTCATCAGTAATGTGGAAACACCATTACCCAGGAGTATTTAGTGGAGTCAGACACCCTCCCCCCAACATGAAACCCTCCCTAAGAGACATGTGTACTGCTAGACCCCCAAACCCAGCTTGAACCAATGAAAGGTGGTATCAAGTAACAGGATACAATCACATGTCAGGCCCATGTACATTGTACTATTGATGACACCGGTCCAGAAAAGATGAGTAACTACAGCACTCAACATAGCAGGGAATCCAATATTCCAACCCAGGCATGCTTAGCTCTGAAGCCACATTACAACCTCTACATCTCATGCCTGTGGACTAAGCATCTCCTCTAAACTAGCTTGAGGGGTTCTGGTTCTGGCTCTGCTTCTAATTCACTAATTGAGTTGACCTTCCTGCCCCTCAAGGTGTCTGGATTTCTAATTCTGCCGGGCTTCACCCATTTGCCTTTGAGGAAGCTATTTTCTCTATGGCCACAAGAGGGGGCACTATAACATCCATGCTTTGCTTGAATCACCTTCGTATCTTCAGGTCAATTGGAAAGAGGTTTTAGGAAACTCTCATCTTCTCTTTCCCCTATTTTACAGATAACTAGACGGTGACCAAAAAGCAACCATGGCTTTGGAAGGCGAAATTCAGTCTGAGGAAGTTGAAGCTGCCGTCAGTGAGATCTCGGTATGTGACTGCTATACTCCTTTGGGTGAACGAACAGTTTACCCAGATCTTAGGCCTGGCTCTAAGACACAGAGAAAGCAGAAAATCTCGTACTTTTCAGGAGGTCTTTGGTCTATGCAACACAGGCCGAATCCCCAATGATTACAGGCTGCAGGGTGCTCTTGGGAAGCCCTGGGTAGTACAATTTAGTGCTGTTTGCCACATAAATTCCTGAGAGGCGAACACACTGATTGCTCAGATGGGGGAAACTGAGCCTCAGAAAGGGTAAATCACTAACTCCAAGATCATATAACAGCAGAATTGCAATTCAAACCCAAGTCCATCAACCTCCACTAACAGAGGAGACATTTAACCCGGATTTTGAAGGATGACTAGAAGTTCTCTAAGAAGGTAATTTATCTTTATTTTATTTTATATTTATTTATTTACTGTCAGTTGTGAGATGAACTTGGGGCTTGGGTGCTATCCCTGAGCTCTTTTACTCAAGGCTAGTGCTCTACCACTTTGAGCCCCAGCGCCCTGGATTTCTGGTGGTTAATTGGAGAAAACAGTCTTGTGGACTTTCCTGCCTGGGCTGGCTTTGAACTGTGATCCTCACATCTCAGCCTTCTGAATAGTTAGGATTACAGGCATGAGCCACCGGTGCCTGGCCTTAATTTTTGTTTTTATTGTTATTAGAAAGGTGATGTACAGAGTGGTTACAATTAACATAGGTCAAGCATGAGTATATTTCTTTCTTTCTTTCTTTTTTGCCAGTCCTGAGGCTTGAATTCTGGGACTGGGCTCTGTTCCTGAGCTCCTTTTTGCTCAAGGCTAGCACTCTACCACCTGAGCCACATCCCCATTTCAAGCTTTTCCTAGATTAACTGGAGATAAGAGTCCCACAGACTTTTCAGTCTGCGCTGGCCTCGAGCCATGATCCCCACATCTCAGCCTCCTGAGTAGCTAGGATTACAGGCATGAGCCACCAGTGCCCTGCGTGTGAGTACATTAGGAAAGTAAATTATTGTATTCTATGTTTCTTTACAGTGAGGGCTATGTGAGCCACCATGGGGTGGTGAGTACAGGAAATGACAAAGTTGGTACCCAAATGGTCCCGCTAGAGAGATTAAGGCCAAAAGAGAGTGAGAAGGCCAACTGAATGTTTAGTGACCATGTCATTCACAGGGTGTGTATTGCCTTCCCAGACTCTCTGAGTACAGAAGTCCCCGTTGGGTAGCCATGGAGTGGAACAATGACACAATCCAGGCCCTGAACTTGCCGCCCACTACTTGCGTCTACCAAGAGGACTTCAAATGGCTGCTGCTGCCACCCGTGTACTCAGTGGTGCTGGCAGCTGGCCTGCCACTGAACATCTGTGTCATCGCCCAGATCTTCGCATCCCGCAGGGCGCTGACCCGCACAGCTGTGTACACCCTGAACTTGGCCCTGGCTGACCTGTTGTATGCCTGCTCCCTGCCGCTGCTCATCTACAACTACGCCCAGCGGGACCACTGGCCCTTTGGCGACCTCACCTGCCGCCTGGTGCGTTTCCTCTTCTATGCCAACCTGCACGGCAGCATCCTCTTCCTCACCTGCATCAGCTTCCAGCGCTACCTGGGCATCTGCCACCCATTGGCTCCCTGGCACAAGCATGGGGGCCGCCGTGCTGCCTGGCTGGTGTGTGGAGCCGTGTGGCTGGTGGTGACAGCCCAGTGTCTGCCCACGGCTGTATTTGCAGCCACTGGCACCCAGCGGAATCGCACAGTCTGCTATGATCTGAGTCCACCTGCTCTGGCCACCCGCTACCTGCCGTATGGCATGGCCCTCACTGTCATTGGATTCTTGCTGCCGTTTGCAGCCCTGCTGGCCTGTTACTGTCTCCTGGCTCGCCGCCTGTGCCGCCATGATGGCCCAGCAGGGCCTGTGGCTCGAGAGAGGCGTGGCAAGGCTGCCCGGATGGCTGTGGTGGTGGCAGCTGTCTTTGTCATTAGCTTCTTGCCTTTCCATATCACCAAGACAGCCTACCTGGCTGTGCGCTCTACACCCGGCGTCTCCTGCCCAGTGCTAGAGGCCTTTGCCACTGCCTACAAAGGCACACGGCCCTTCGCCAGTGCCAACAGTGTGCTGGACCCCATCCTCTTCTACTTCACCCAGCAGAAGTTCCGCCGGCGGCCTCATGAACTCCTACAGAAACTCACAGCCAAGTGGCAGCGGCAGCCACCTAGCTGAACCCACAGGCAGGACCCTAGGCAGGGGCAGCTGTGCATTTGCTATGATGGCCAGGGGACCAAAACTCCCCTCCCCAACATTCCCTCCCAGCTCCAACCAGACAGAGAATTGAAACTTAGCTGTCTTGGGCATGAAGTAAGGCCACCCCTAGACCTCTTCTTCTCCCCGGCCAAGATCTCACCAGCTATTTATTGAACCCTCTCCCTGGACCAGGGTCTGTGTGATAAAGACTGTCAGGCCTGGGCCTGGCCTTCCAGAAGTTCCCAGTCAGCCATCAGGTTAAGAAAACTGTGGTAAGCTACTCACAGAAATGGAGTGTGAGTGTACTGTAACAGAGAAATTGTACCTTATTGTATGTTATACTGTATTGCCTGCTTTGGAAGTCACCAAGGGAATGGATGAGAGGGAAAATGGGAAAAGGAAGTGAGGGCTTCCAGGAAGGAGCATTTGAGCTGTGTTTAGAGGGTTGTATATGTCCTTTCTGGTAGACAGGAATGATATCCTTATTTAGTAAACCTTAATGAAGATCTGGGTGTTTAAGCTCAGGCCTGGGTGTTTCCAGAACCTTAGGAGAACCAGTCCCAGCCCTGTTCCATATAGGCTCCCAACTGCTGGAGCCATCAACCCTGACAGAGTGGGATCAGGGCTGTGACAGACAGAAGCCAAGAAAGGGCAGTGTACAGAGGGATCAGGAGAAGCAGACGTTAAAGGCTAAGTAGGCGATCCTCAGACAGAAGTGCTGCCTGGGTCAGTCTCCTGTGTGCCTCTGTCCTGGAGAAGATGCCTTGTAGCCCGTGTGCAAGTGAGGAAAATAGCTGCTCTTCAGTCACTCTGCAGACAAAAGCAAGGGTTGACAAGTACACAGACATGGGAGAGGAAGGGGGAACTTTCTAGAAGAGAGGGTTGCTAGCAGGAGGCAGGCACTGAGTGTACAGAAACCCGAGGGGAAAAGGGAGCTGTGGCTTACACCTTTAACCTCAGCACACATGTCTGTCATACCAGTGTTTGAGAAGTGGAGACAGAAGGATCTCAAATACAAGACTAGTGTGGGATACACAACAACTTTGTATTGAAAAAGAAGATGGGGCTGATGGCTCAGGCCTATAATTCCAACTACTCAGGAGGCTGAGACCTGGAAGATCTCAGTCTGGGCAGACAAGTCCTAGAGACTCTGTCTCTAATCAATAAAATATTGGACTGGAGCACTAACTGTGAGCAAGAAAGCCCGGTGAAAGCTCAAGGCCCTAGTTCAAACTTCAGTACCAGTGTATGCACACATGCACCAATGTCTGCACAAGAACATGCACACACACACACACACACACACACACACACACACACACACACACGAGAAGGAGGAGGAGAAAAGAAAAAGGGCAAGAGATAGGCATGGTTTTGAAGCAGTTAACCCTGGAAGAGGGCTAGTGTGCAGAAAGGCACCTAGAAAAGAAGCTATAAAGACCAGAGCATCCGATGTTAGGAACCCAGACCCCACCTCTCCTTCACCTGCCTCTTCCAAGGCCTCAGGCTTTTGCCTGAACCATTTCCTGCACCAGAGAAACCCTGGCCCTCTCCTCCAGCCCTACTCTTCAGGGCCCAACTGCCCTGCTCCATCCTCAGGAACCCCTGCAGGAGTCACTTGAGCCCTCTGAACCCACTTAGTGCCTAGCCACACTTCCTCATCACCCTGTTCCTCTTCTTCACCTGCCACCTCGTGGCTCTAGGGAGGAAAGACAGCTGGATGTCAACCACAGCGTCAGTCCTCCTGTTTAGCTGAGCACTGGCTTCAGAAGATGGAAAGTTCACTTCAGAACTCTCTTGCATTTATGGGGTAACAGAAAAGTGTCCCAGGGCACTTTAATACAGAGTAAGAGGAACATGTTTAGCACTAGGTGGTGTCTTTAGAGATAAGGCTCTTTCTATCTCCCTATCATCTGGGCATAATAGTCCTGGCTCCTATGGCTTGTAGAGCAAGTAACTGTGAGCAGCTTGGGTCTCCAACCATGAGGGAGAAATAAATGTTTTGTTTTTAAAAATCCATTGGTTTGGAGAGGCCTTTGTTACCCACAGCTGAAACTAACCATTTAGTGAGGTTCTAGCCTGACCTGGTGTGCCCAGGTGAAGAACTGGACAGTGACTTGAATTGGGGTGGGGTCAAGGTCTAGGTCTAGGGGAGTAGCAGCTCTGGAGACACCTCTGAAGGCATCTTTAGAGAAGGGGACATGGTCTGGGGGTGTAGCTTGAGGCTGAGAAGGTGGATGGGAGGACAGAAAGGAGCCAAGGATGTGGAGACAGAAGCCTGGAGGAGGTCTCTGTATGGAGGAAGGGGAGGAAGTGGAGTTGGCGGGCAAAAAAAGGAAAAAGGAAGTTCTGAGGAAGGTCAGTCCCAAGGCAGAATCTTCTAGGACAAAGACCTTCAAGACTTGTCACTTGAGGACAGGGAGCCAGGGTAGTGGGGTCAAGGTTTAGTGAATGAAATAATGAGGGAGCTGGGAATGTGGCTCAGTGGTAGAGTGCTTGACTAGCATGCATGAAGCCCTGGGTTCCTCAGTACCACATAAACAGAAAAGGCCAGAAAGGGCTCTGTGACTCAAGTGGTAGAGTGCTAGCCTTGAGCAAGAGTAGCTCAGGGACAGTGCCCAGGATCTGAGTTCGAGCCCCAGGACTGGCAAAAAAGAAAAGAATCAGCAAGCAGGGCCCATCTTGAAGAGATTCCCACTCCACATGGGAACAGCCAAGGGCACTGGGTATGTCCGAGCTGCAGCAATAAGCTCCTTCCTCTCTAGCTCACTGTGTAACAGGCCTTCTGTTACTCCCTTGAGATGTTACTCCATTCTGCCATGGAAAAGAATCCAGAGGCTTGGGAGTACAGCATTAATTCAGCACCTACTGAATGCCAGATATCATGCTGGACAATGGGTTCCTGGGGAGAAAATCTTATGGGGATGGTGGTTATGGCTGAAAAATGATGGGTGTCAGGGTGGGGGTGGTGAGAACCTGACCTAGTTTGAAGGGTAGACAAGGTTCCTTAGATAAAGTCCTTGGTTCTCAGAAAGGATGGGCTCCATGCAGAGGTCTGCACTTCTCGTATCTGAAATACAGGTTAAAGCTTCGAGTCCTCTCATAGCTGACAAGGTACTGAGGATGGAAATGTTAGAGGCCTGGACCTCACTGGGCCACTTGACTGACTGGGTAGATACATTGCTGTTTTCATTCTCCCTTCCTGGTATAGGCCTGGTTTCAAAATCTCAGCAGTCAATGTTCCTCCGTCTATTAAGCCCAATATTCTAAGCCCCTCTCAGAAGAGTTTTCTTTTATAATCTCATCTGGGACTATAAGGCTGGGATGGGAGGCCTCCTGAGGCCTCCTGGGACACATAGGATACCCTGACTGAACATCCTTTTGAACCAAGGCCCAGCCTAGATCCTAGATCCTTCACCCTACCCATGTGGCTGAAGGCCTCAGCCAGGTCACCTCAGGTCCAGCCCACAAGGACTCTGGGACCCTGTGGCCTGAGTCACCACTCGTCTCCACCATTTCTGACATGGAATAAGGACCTCTGTCTCCAAAATGATTAGAAGGCAGGAGCTAGCCAGGTACAGTGGGATAACCTGTGATTCCAGCAGATCACAAGTGTGAAGCTATCCTGGCTTAGACTATAGACATAGTCTTAAGAAGGAGGAGGAGAAAGAAGATGACAATAAATAAATAAATGATGGTGTGAAGGAGCTCGGAAAGGAGTATGTTTCATTTTGGGGAAGACAGACTCTTGAGTGAGATTTCCTCCCACTATACTATCAAAACATGCCCCCAAATCAAAGAAAAAACACCTTAAGGAAAGTAAGAGTCTAACTTTAGTATTATAAGTCAGAGAGATCAACTTGAAAGTTAGAAAGGAAACCTGACTCCACTCCTCACTTTTCAAATAAGGCATCCAAGGCCTAGAGAAGCAGAGATCTACCCACGGTCACATAGCAAGACAGGGCAGAAAGGCATAAACTCCATCTGAGCTCTTTCTTGACTACTGACTTCCCAGTGAAAAGGAATTTACTAGATTTACTCCAAGTTTCCCTGAGGCAGATTTAAACCATGATTGAATGAGGGCCTCACTAGAACATGTCTCAACTCAGGGCAAGGACCTTTGGCCTAAAGAGATTTCTCACAACAAGGTACTGCCCAGAGTGTAGGAGAGGACCGGAGAGGAGAGGAGAGAAGACACTGCTCTCCTATGTGGGCAGCAAGCAGGGCCTGGAGTATTGGTGGGATTTTCCCTCCCTCATTCCACAGTCAGATGATCCCTAAGTGTCTACTGTCCTACTCTACCCTCACCCTGACTCTATCATCCATATGGAGCCTCCCAGCCTAGTTCTGCTAGCCCTGCTAACCCTTTGGCTATGACTGGGGTGGCAGTGGAGTTGGCTGGGTAAGGCTGACCTAGCACAGTGTGAGTGCTACTGTTTGAGAACCACAGAAGGTTCTAAAGGAGGCGGATGCAGGGCTGAGTGGGTAGGGAGCAGTGCAGGCTGTTTTCTATTGCCAGGGAGGTTGCACTCTGGCAAGAAAAGAGGGTGGTTGCTGGGGTCTCAAGGAGAGAGAACCTCTTTCTTTTTGTGAGTTGTGGGGCTTGAACTCAGGGCCTGGGCACTATCCCTGATCTTCTTCATTCAAGGCTGGCACTCTACCACTTTGAGCCACAGCACCACTTCTGTTTTTTTTCTGGTGGTTCACTGGAGATAAGAGTCTCATGGACTTTCCTGCCTGGGCTGGCTTCAAACTTCGAACCTCAGATCTTAGGCTCCTAAGTAGCCAGAATTACAGGTGTGAGCCACCAGGGCCTTTTTCTTTCTTTCTTTGTTTTGTTGTTGTTTTAGCAGGATCTGAGGCTGGGAAAGGCTGTCTGGAGGAACATGGCATTTGAAGGCCCTGAAATCCGAGTCTGAATTACAGCAGTAGCTGCCAGTTGTTCCCTGGCTTTGGCAGTAAAGTTGCCTCTCTGATAATCTATATCTCCCAGGGTGGTTTGAAGATTAAATAAAATCAATCTAGCATTACCCATACAGCAGAGACACTCCATAAAATGTCCTTCGTTTAGATGAAGAAGTCCAGCCCCCAGGTAAGTATGAAAGAAAGGTAAGTGAGGGTGGAGAGGCAGCTTTCCCGCCCGGGAGGGTGAAGAAGCCGCAGGTGAGAGTATGTTTGACCATGAGAAGCCAAAGTTGTTCCGGTCCTTTTGTGCGTGAGGGACAGTGTATTTTGGGAAGATTTGAAACACAAAGGGGACAAGGAAACGACTGCAAATAAAGCCTTCTAAACTCTTGACATGGGGGGCGGGTGGGGGGGGGGGAATGGTTGAGGCTTTGTCCAGGGCTCTGAAGCTTAGGGAGATCTGGCCAGTAGAGGGCGTAAGAGCCACGTACCCCGGAACACAAGGCGGGGGCAAGAAGGCGGAGCATTAGGAAGAGGGGAGGGAAAGGCGGTGGGGGCGGAGAAGCAGGTGGGGGGGCGTAGCATCTGGGAAAGTGTATGGGAGGGGCATGGTCCGGAGGGGAGAGGCTTCTAGAGCTGCGCGGGTGGGTAAAGAGACCATCAAAGCCGGACCGACCTCTAGGGAGGTGGGGCCGGTGGGCGTCTGAAAGGCTTTGAGGGGCGGGGCGGGGCGCAGCGCACAGCGCCGTAGAGGGCGGAGCAAAGGGGTGTGGCCAGAAGCTGCGAGCGCTCGGACCGGGCTGCCCCGCCCACTGCGGCCCCGCCCACTGCGGCCCCGCCACCCCCCGCGCTGGGGTCCCGCCCCTTTCCCTCCGCTGGAGAGTTTCTGCGTGTACCTGAGGACCGGTGTGTACCAGAGTTTACGGGGCTGAGGTTGCCATGTTGGAGCCCCTCGGGCCACAGAGTCTTGAACCCCGATGGGTACGCTCCCGTTTGCGGAGCTGACCGCGCTCGGAGCTAGCGTGTGTCTCAGCCAGTTTCTAAGGGGCAGCTAGCCCGACTGAGCTCCCGGGGGACTTCCGAGGGTCGTGGCCGTCTGGAAGTGTTCAAGCATCTCATTTCTCCTTCGGGCTCCTCCCTGATTCCCTCCCCCTCCCACCCCCCACTGCGTTCCCAGCCTCGCGCGCTCCCGGAGCCCACCCCCTCTTTTGGGCGCGAGGCCCCGCCCTCCACCCCCTTTCCTCAGCCACAAAGTTTATTTGCAACAAAAGGGAGCGAAGAGCTCGCAGCGCCGGGGAGGGAGCGGGAGCTGGAGTGGGAGCGCTGGGAGAGGCAGGCCGGCCGCGGGAGGACGGGTGCAGAGCCGAGGAGCAGGGCTCTGGGATTCAACCGCCCCCCCCCACTCCCTCCACACATACACACACGCCGGGCCGCGATGCCCCAGGCCCTTCGGGTGGAGACCAGGGCTGGCCCTGGAGGTCGCTACTGAGGCGAGAGAAGCCGCCGGGATGGAGCCGCTGCCCCCGATGGCTGCAGAAACTTGATCCGCGACAGCTAAACCTCGGCTCGAGTCTCGGCGTCCTCCTCTCCAAACCCCGCGCGCACGCGCTGCGGGTGCAAGACCCAGGCCTTCGGACCGCAGCCACTGCGCTCCTTCGGAGCGGGGGTGGAGGGGGGGTTGGCCGCGGCTTCCCGAGGCCAGCCCCCCCGGAGTGAGGGCCACCACCATGGCGGACGGGCCGCCCCGGCCCCCACTTTATCGCAGCGTCTCGTTCAAACTGCTGGAGCGCTGGAGCGGCGGATCCGGGCCGAGAGAGGAGGACACGGACACCCCTGGGTTGCAGCGCCGGGCCTCGTGCCGGCCGGCCACGGCAGTCCCGGGCCAGCCCTCCCGGCGCGTGTCCAAGCTGGCGTCGGGGCCCCGGGCCGCCCCCGCGCAGCCGCGCCCGCTCCGCAGCCTCTCGCCCTCCGTGCGCCAGCTCTCCCGGCGCTTCGACGCGCCGCGTTTGGACGACGACCCCTCTGGGGCCCGGGACGGGAGTGCCTCCCCCGGGGCCGCGGAAGAAGCTGCCGAAGGCGCTGCTCGTGGGGCCTGGCCGAGCGTCACCGAGATGCGCAAGCTCTTCGGCGGCCCTGGCTCCAGG